CCCCTCGAGCAGCGCTTTACCAACACGTGTCCCCGTGCAGGAGCAACAACCTCACACCCCTCGAGCGGCGCTTTACCAACACGTGTTCCCGTGCAGGGGTGACAACCTCGCGCCCCTCGAGCAGTGCTTTACCAACACGTGTTCCCGTGCAGGGGTGACAACCTTGCACCCCTCGAGCAGCGCTTTACCAGCACGTGTTCCTGTGCAGGAGTGACGGATGGCGAGGGGCCCCCGGCCGCTGTGCTGCCACCGGCAGGCGCTGGGGAACACTCCTGAGTCCACTGTGACGCTGGAGGGAGGTTTCTGAAAGCACCAGTTTGTCTCCCACCCCTGGGCAAGGTCTGTCACCAGGGCAGTTTTCTTGCCGTAGCTCAAGTGCCCTGCCTTACAGACAGGAACAGCAGTAATCCCAAGAACCACATTTAAGAGCTAAGTCCGGATTCACCAAGGTTTTGAAGACCTCACTGTGGGCCACTGACTCAAGGAATACATATTCCAACTGCAGCCGGGCACTGCCACCCTCACCCGCTCAGCTCAGCCTCAGGAGCAGCTGACGCATACGTCCCTCTGCTGCAAAACACGCACACTGCCGAGTCTCAAGGCTCGCGTCGGGAAGTACATCCCGCTGCACTCCCACCGCTCCAGACTCGTACCGGGAAGTCCGTAAGCAGAAATGTAACACACTACGTAGGGGTCAAGCACAGCAGTTCATGTTTTGTGTCTTAATTGGGGTAACCCCAAGGCAAGGGCTCCAAATGCCAGGAGCTGCCCTAGGCAAGCATGATAGAGTATCTGAGAACAGTAGGAGATCCCTTTGTTAACAGAATGAAGGAAGGAGTTAGTAGGATAAAGGAAAAAAGCAGATTGATAACTGTCCAATTTTTGTGGTGGTGTAGTGTCTCTTGGCAGAGGAACTAGACCAGTTACGGTGATTTTAGAACGTAACTTTCCCTTCTCTAGCTTAAGGGAATGCAGAACTCTCAGCATTCCTCAATTTATAATGAATTAAACCACCCAACCTCTTTCTGCAGAACGCCTTTTCAGGCTAACTACACAGAAAGCCGCCTTGAAATTCTGATGCTCCCCTGAACAGATTCACCTTCCCATCTTACAGCAGCCTAGGAGGAGATCCAGTTACACCTGTGATCTCCAGCACAAAGCCTCTTCAGGCAGCAGAAGCCGCTACTTTCTCCAAAGCAGATTTCCCCTCCAGGTCTCCGCAGAAGGAAAGCTTTGGAGAAGGCAACCCCAGCACAGAGAAATCGGCAGAGCTGTGCGGGTTCTGACAAGAAGGAGCTTGACACATCTGCCAGGCCCAGAGGTCAAGCCCAACAGGCCTGAAGGCAGCTGCTGCGGTCATCTCGCTGGGTGACGGCAGCTGATTTTGTGGAAGCTAGTGAATACTCTAAAGTGGGTCACCAACGACACGGGAGCAAACCCATGAAATTAAACCAGCATCCATCAGTTTGCCTTTGACAGGCTGGTGGGTACTTGTGATGGTAAAACGCAGATTCTGAGAATCTGGACAGTGCACCTCCTGTGCTCTTACAGAAATGGAGCGAGGCGCGCAAGGGGCTACACCCAGGATTGCCTGACGCACTGCCACTGGCTCTCTCCACTGTTTGGGTTGTGGGGTTTTGTTTGCTTTGCCTTGTTTTGTTTTTCAAAGTTACTTTTGTACAGCTAGCTTTAGATGAGTTTGGATCCACTCACAGCCCAGCAGGCTCCAGAGCAGCCTAGCTGCAGAGGTTACTGGGGAACCACTTACATCTTTACCTCAGCTCTTGGAGGTTTTGCAGGCTGCCCAGGTGCCCAGCAAAGCTTTACTGCTGAGCTGAGCCAGCAGAAGCCTTCTGAGACCAAACTGCACCAGTTACATGGACAGACACTTCAACCACCAGTAGGTAAACGTGCCTTGCTGTACTATGCAGCTAGTGGTCTCACTACTTCTGGGAGATACACTTTCTCCTGGAAGCACTGAAGATGGCTAAATCAGGTTGGTTACCATGAGTTTTAGGATTCCTGAATATTCTTAGAAAACAAACCAAAAAATAGCACCCCTCCCAGGCTATCCTCATGCAAAGGCCATGACTACTGCAACAACTCAAGCGAAGCTCTAGCCAACCCTGGCCCTGACAGTACTTTCCGGATCAGTTCCTTCCCGCAAGTGTCAGACACGAAACACCGGCTGACACCCGCATAGCTACAAGACCCAGCTTGCTTGGCGCTCAGTCCTGAGTGGATTTAGCCCACCCTGGTCCATCTCCTTCCGTGAAGCACTGAGAAGGAACAGGACTCGTACACCAAGCGAGGCAGGACCTCTGCTCCCCTTCAGCTGAGATCCAGAAGCTGCCGCAGTCTCTCGCAAGGTCTAGGGTTACACTGACTGACCACAGGAGTAAGATAGATAAATATAACTTTTGCTCTCTTACTTGCACGAAAGGCATTTCCTTGCGTGTCTGCCATTCTGCCTAGCACCTTCCTAAAGGATTCTGAAGCACCGAGAAATTCTGCTGAAATCAATGTCTGTTTCAGCCAAAGATGCGGAAGACCTCGTTGGTGGCAGGTTACCTAAGAAAGAACAGGTCTCAAAGTAATCCCGTTACTCTTACTCCAAGTTCCCTTCTGCCTTTTCCTAACACAAGAGACCCAGACAGTGTCGAGTAACTGCTAAGGAGCAAGATAAAATAGTTACTCACTGTGAATTACCACTATCTTGAAGGGGTTTATTTTGACAGCATAACCACACGTGATAAAAGTAAGTGAGAAGTAAACGCTTCACTTTGCTGTGCCTGGTTCCAGTAACGCCCAAAGCAGTTGCTGTGGAAGTCCTGAAAGCGTGTTTTCTTTCGTTTTAAATAAACCAAAGATTTCTGCTATGGAAAAAAAATAATGTATACGTTTTTATGTTACGTTTATAACAAGGCTTTTAAAGAAAATAGTTACAGGTATTCGACTGCATCAGACTTCAAAAGAAAAAAAAAGATTACACATACAATACAAAAATACAAAAAAATAGTTTTTAGAACTTACAAACTCAAAAGCCAAAGTGGTCAGAGCTTTCCTAAAATAAAAACTAAAAAAAATACACTTCAAGATGCACTTTCCTTTCTGCACTCACAGGTTCAACTTTAGCATGAAGAGAAGTTTGAGAGGCAGGATGAAAGCAATCAGTTCTACAGCCAGTTCCAGGTCGAAATTAATGTAGTAGTTGACACTATCAGGTATTTGAGTTTAAAAAGAACCTTCTGTTTGTGAGGGGGGAGGGTGGGTTGTTGCCACTTACAACTTTTTGTTACACCAGTTCCGCTAGCACAACGTAGAATTAGGCTGGAATTTAGCCAGTCCGTACTAGGTGCGACCCCCCACAGCACCGTTCTGCAGCACGAAAGCCAGGAAGTCAAACTGACCAGGCTAACGCCACGGACAAAAGTCATCACGGAAGGCAGACGGGTAGGAAAAGGTTGAGTTTTAATTCTGACGCTGACGCTCGCTAGAAGCACCAGGACGGCAGATGCAGGATTCTTCGTTAACCTGATAGCGTCTGCTGAGGTCACAGCCATCGAGGCATTTCGCTTCCGATGGCCGGACGGGGAAAGTGCATCTTAGATTTTTCATTCTTAAGCAGTGAGTTATCGATTTTTGGTGTGGCTTTTATTCCTTCTAGGCATAGTAAAGAAAAAATATTTCAACCAAATATGAAGCTTAATGTACATTATCTTGTCGTTTTGGTGGTGGCTTCTGTGTACCACAAGGAAACGCTCAACAAGCACTACTCAAGGCTAATGATTTAAGAGGAGCACACGGAAAAGACTGATTCACCTTTGTAGTGAATATTCTTTACAGACTGTATCTAATATACAGACAAGGCCCGCTGCCTTAGGATGAAACGGGCCACAGAAGGTTACACATCCTACAAGAAGTTTTAAACAGAACTAGAGCTAAGTTACCAGAGCCACTCAGAGCAATGCAATTCCTAGTTTGCAGAGCCTTAACAAAAGGTGACCGCAGGGAGAAAAAACAAAAAAGAACCAAACCAAAACAGGTTCTTACTACTTCCTGCTAGTTTATAAGTTTATATTCAATTTAATAGTCCAGTCACACTTCTAGGACAAGACAATGCTCACTCGTTAGCAGTATCCCTAGGAGTCAACTGTTTCTCCTGTTACGAAGAGGGAGCCAGAAGTGATAATGCGAGAGCGTTCAGTGTTAACCTGATTAAAGAGACAGTAACCTTTTTTCATCCACCTTAATTAATCAATGACACCCTCCCCCCCCAAAAAAAAAACCTTAAAAAGGTACCACTCCAATTTCTTTATTATCTTAACCTTTTGAAACTAATCACATGGGACTACAAAATTAGCAAATGCCTTGAAATCTGTATACAAAACATAAATTACCTCTAATTTCAAACTCAGGTATTAGTGTACCACTCAAAATCTTAAAAAAGTGGCTCCAAAGATAGTCTTATACCATTCTTAAAAAAAGGAAACTGTTCCTTTAATGTTACACCCCTTCCCTCCCCCCATACACCCAACTCTCAATCCACATCGTTTAGTTATGTTCTTGGTCATGGACGTTTCCGAGATGAGATTTTATATTTCGTTCCCATAGCTTCTGGTTGTCGGAAAAGCCATGCTTTCCTTTATTGAAGGAATTTGGTCCTGCTGAGGTTGGTGTATCCCTGTGAAAAGGAAAACACAAGCTGTTGAGAAAGTCAGTTCAACTACAGTGGTTTGTGCAACGTGATGCTGAAAACACCAGTTTCAAGACCGACCCACACACCTCTCTTTCCGTTACGCCAGGAGTCCTCGCTATCAGCAACTGTGATTTGGCCACAGAACTCGTCTCTCGAGCGCGTCAGGACAAGAGCCGTGAGACGGGGCAGCAGAGAAGGCGGGAGGGGCAGCTGCCAGCCGTCAAGAGTTTGTTGCAAGGGCTACAAAACTAGGGAAGTAAATTTGCTGCCGGAGGAAAAAAAACCTCACTGAACATCAGTGAGCCTCCAGGGAACTGACTTCAAAAGCAGCCTATCACGATAAACAACTTTCTGCTCAAAATTCATCCCTAACTTCAGTGAAGCCTCCTCTGAAAATGTCCCTGTTTATTTTAGGGTTGGCTCCACGCTGTCTCAAACGTGTGGCAAGCAGCAGAATTGTTTACCTATTTGTTTTAAAATGAAACAAGCGATTCTTTCTCTCTGTGAGAGACGATTCTCATTCTCCCCTTGCACAGGAGTTTAGAAGTCTGACCACACTGCCCTGCTTCAGGGCAGTTTATAAATGGAGAACTAGGAAGACAAAGTTGAACAGAAAACAGGAACGCCCACCTGTTACCTTTCCAAGAAGAAAACGAGTTTCTATTTAATACAGACTCAATTCTTCCTCAGAAAGGTGGCAAATAAGATTCAAAGTGCAAATGTCAATGTACTCCTTGTAACCTACAGCTCAAATAGTTGAAAATATCCGTACTAAAAGCTTCTGGAGAAAAGCTTTTTGAACCTACTCCAGCTTCCCGTATTTCTAACCCACTGCAAGACCTGCCCTGTGCTGGAGGAGCTGTTCTCACACACTCACCCTTCTCCAAGCCGTAGGTAAAAGCTGACCTACCTTCCAATGTTCTTCATGCGCATCTTGGCTTCCGGAGGCATTTCTTCTGGTTCGCTCTACAGAGAGAGAGAGGTTAGAGCCTGGCTGGGTGCTCCCACCTGAACATTACCAATGCCCCACGAGGTCAAAGCAACCATTCATTCCAACTGTGCCGTGCATCTCATTTTCAGGGAAGCGTTACCAGCACTGTAATGTTTTCTTCAAGCAACACAGAGCTATGGAGCTGTACTTTCTTGAACAGACACACAAGGGATGTTTCTAGGTTGAAAAATCCCTGACATTTATGTAAAGGAGCTTAAATAACCCACTCCCTCTGCCTAACTCCGACCCACAACAGTGGCACTTTAAGTTGTGTTGATCACTGGCTTATTACTCACATCTTCATCTTCATTGAAAGCTGCTGCTACGGAAAGGGTTTTTGGAGCAAGAGTTGGAACAGGCTCTTTAGGCTTCTGAAAAAGACCAAACGCACAAAGTCAGTCTACTAACTCAAAAAAGCTACCCTTGGTATTTTAAATATTTTGGTAAAATTAAGTCAAATGTCTTCCCTGAAACAGGCAACGAGAGGGAAAAGTGGTTTTGTCTGAATCAAGCAGATAAAGGTTTCTCTCTAATGAAAATGGCTGCTGCTCACTTGTGCGAGAGACACTCTGAGGAGCAACCTGGGCCTCCTCACATTACAATTCCCCACAAGCAAGTCCTAACTTTCTAGCACACTGCAGGGGCACACAGCCACTGGTGCATGACACGAACAACTACACCCAAACCGGAATAAGTTGAGGTAGTCAGAATCTTACTATGTCACTGTTTCCGTTATTCTTTCGGGGTATTCTTATCCATCAATGCCAGGAAGATGAAGGTGTTTATTTTCTTTTAACAACGTAACAGCTTTCTGGCTTAAAACAATTCAGTACTTTTAAGCTAGCATCAGTGTGCATCAGAGAGTCTGGTCAACATAAGGCTCCTTTAAAAAGTGTTATTTTGATTTCCAATTAATACTTTCCTCTGTGCAAAGCGTAAGAAGGCATCAAACTTGCAACCGGTACACGTGATACAGCACAGATACCAGAAGTAACTGTGAGACCACAAAGCAAGCACTGAGTCATCAGGAACAGTTCCCCCTACAGCACCACCGGTTAGCCGAATCAATCGCACACAGTGCTCCCTCCATTTTGACTTGATCGGCTGTAATTCCATACACACTCAGAGTTGTGAAGCTGATACTGCAGCAGAGTCCTTCGGCGACTGCCTACAGCTCTACCTCACCAACGGCACATAACATATCGATACCCTGACCTTTTTTAAAGCATCAGCTCCACAGGAACAGGCAACATACCGCGGCAGTAAAAACGGCTGAAAGGAAAGAGGGGACGTTTCAGCACTGTCCAATCTGGCGCGCTGCCAGTCACCCACTAAATTCAGCGAGCCAGAAATCCCGAGCCAAATTTACTGCCACTGGAAGGGTCTTTCTACATGAGAAATCGGAGCTTGCTGGTGGCTCAGAGAGGGCAGCTTTGACAATTTTTCCAAAGCCTGAGCTGACCTGAATGCATTTATTCCGCAGAATGCAGTCAGCCCACACCTCCCTCCCATCTCAAACTAACAGAGCATCCTTTCCATCTTCTGCAGATCTGTAAAGTGCTGGCATTGCAGGTGCAAGCCTCAAAACACTACACTTAAGAGTTTGATCCAGCCAAGGATTCATAACGTACCACTGTGATGGATACATGGGAACTGTAAGTGAACTGCATGCAACAGAGGGGCAGCAGCAGGCTAGTCCTTGCCCAGGCTAGTAGAGGACTATTCTGGGAGTCAAGAGAATCATCGGATTCATGTCTGAACAAGCACAAGGATACCTTGTACCTGACAATAAAGGGGATGGGAGTTCTCAGAAAGCTATGTATCGAAGCCTCATCTCTTGCATACACTATCGATGAATGGTACTGACCTTGCAAAGAACAGGCAAAGTCATGAAAAATAAACTATCCTCCCCCATGCTAAAATAAGACCTCTGGAGTGGGAGACAACCGATTAAGCCACCTGGGAGAGTATTTTTCGTGCAGCTTTTAAGCATCCCATGCAGTGAAGCTCCCAAGCTCATTTCAAAGTAGCCTCAACAGTTTAACAAGTCTGCTCATTTCCCTCAAGAAATGATTCCAGTCATCAAATATCATTAAAAAAATTATTCTGCACGTTCAGAGATCTACAGTTCATTTTAACCAAGTCTGATGCTTCCCAAGACAGCTGACCCGGTAGTCATCACCCTGAAGTACTTACACGTGCATGACCTGCTGGCCCTGCAAAGCCGCCTTATGCTTCATCCAAGCTACCCACATGCAATTCAAGGCTTTCCTTCTGCAAGGAAGCCTCCCCAAAGCAATTCCCCCCTCTGCCTCACCTTCACGAAAATTCAAAGCCCTCAGACAACTTACATTTGCTCCTAGTTTGATGGATATTGCAGATGTCTTCTTTGCTGTTTGACTGCCTATGGAAAATCCAAACTTGGACATTTTGGCAGGAGCAGGCTTTGTGGTGAAGTCTTCAGCTTCTTCATTAGCTGCCCGTTTCTCTGCGCTGCGACTCGAACTTTCTCCTCCATTACTGGAAGAAACAGTCTTAGTTTTCACAGGTTTTTCTGCCTCTTCTTCAGGTCCTGGTGAAGTCGAAACAACTTACCAAGATGAGCTATTTTTACTGAGCAGATTGATGGGAGCAGCAACCTCAAAAAGCATTATACTTTGGGTGCAATAGGTAAGGTGTTTTTAGTGATAGCAAAACACAAAGAGGAGAAGAAACTGCAAGCACTCCACTACTCGTAAAGAACTTCTTGTGCATGAGCCAGGAAAACAATCTTGAAGCACCATCTCTTTATTTAGTATGAAAGTCAAAGTTCACGTAGTAAATTAAACGCAGGTGACTACATCTTTTTAGGGTTTAAGTTGCCATAGATAAGCTGTCATAACTGGAATCCCAATTCCAAATCTAGAGTAGATAATCTAAGTTAAAATTAATGCTACTACATTTCTACAAAAACATGTCCATGCCAGTCTCTAGGCTTGTCTGGCACAACTCTAAAATCATGGAAGTGACTAGAGTGAGGCCGGCTGTCTCAATCATGTTTCAAGTCACTGCTTGTCCACATTTCATGTGTAATAAATCTGCCAAGCTCTGCTTGAGGAAGGAATCAGCACTAGAAAAACATATATATGTATATTTCATCTTTTCTGGTTTTGTATGAAGTCATGGAAAACACAGCAGCTGAACAACAACCCACAGAGAGAAAAAACACTCAAATCACATTTTCATTCCTATATACTCAGCTTCTTCAGCTACACCGAGAGACAAAGGTGTCCTTGGAAAACTCATATTGAACATAGTAAATGCTTCAGCAAAACCACGTTTCTTTGCTGCTGCAATAAGCAGATCACTGCAGTAGCAAAAGGGGGAAAGGAAAAAAACCAACCACCATGCACTGGGGAGTGGACAGGAAAGTGCTCATACAACCAGCCTAAGAAAACCTGGAGCTGGCACCAGTCCCTCATCCTATCGACTGGAAAACAGGATACGGTCACAGCAAGCGAACACAGCAAATTCAGACCATCAGGGAAGAAAGCTCTTTACATTGCTCTCTAACATGAAAACATAATTATTAAGTGAGACAGAGCAATGTGAGAGAAGCTAGTCTGAACTGGGGGTCAACAAGACTGCAGTCCTCAGGGGAAAAAAAAAAAAAAAGAGGAAGCAAACAACATCAGGAGAAAGAAAAACTAGGGACACCGTCTATATATATGTTTCTGCTGTTTCCCAAATCATAAGCAGCAGGATGCTGCTTTCCATCCCACTCTTCTAGCCATCAAGATAAATACGTTTTTGTTCTAATCACTTATTATTATTCACCTCTGGAAAGATGGCAAATGACCCAAAAAGAAAAAATTAGTAACTTGAATAGACTTCCCTCTATTAAATAACAGCAATAGTCTGCACCACTAGAAATTTAACCCAGAAAGTACAGCTCTAAAAGTGACAGAGGAGGAAGGAGAAACAGGCAAAATTCCCACAAGTGACCTTGGGTACTGACTGCTGCCTTAGCAGAGTTTTCCAAACAGCAGTCTGCAAGGTGACGAGCAGCTCTTCACAGCTACGCCACGGAATCACATTAAATGGAATGCAGCACCAGCCTAGGCACTCTAGAGGCTGCAAGGTGATTCAAGAGTAGGTAGAAGCTTCACTGGCCTTGGAAGTGTTGAAACGTGGGCCTAAAAGTTTGCTTTTTCCTAAGACACAAACCCCACAGCAGCCCAAATCTTGGGGCACACTGGATCAGCCCAAGTTCCCAGGCTAATGCTAGGTGGAGGCTAACTACCCTACAGCTCGCTTCTCTGACTGCGCATTCTACAGCATCGCTAAGCGCAAGACGAAGCCTAAGAGAGGCTAGAGTTGGCTGTATCAACCCCCACATCTCTTTTCTTGTCCAAATATTAAACAGCTTCTCTCCTAAAAATCACCACTGTGGTATGAACATTACTCCTACTAGGATCCACTTAGGATAAACTGCAGCCTTTTGTAGCTTCCTTACAACAACTCATCCTTACTGAAGGAGCCACAAAAGGGAGGGAGCCACTGTGCTGTTCCATTTCTGCAGAAAACAGAAATGCAGGTGTATATTATCCCTGAAATATGTCTCTCCCATCTCACATGCCAAGGCATAGATATTTTCCAAAACATGAAGGCTCCTTTATTATCTCATAGAGATCTCAAGGAGGTCTTGCTTCACCTACCAAAAGCACCAGTACTATTTTAAAAACTAGCCTGACCAGTGCTTTTTTTTTCATGGGTCACAGGAACAAAAAGCTGTCATACTTCACAGATGAGTTTTTTCTCATGAGTATCATGGTGGTGAGGCACTGGGACAGGTTGCCCAGAGCAGCTGTGGATGCCCCATCCCTGGAAGTGTTCAAGGCCAGGCTGGATGAGGCTTGGAGCAACCTGGTCTAGTGGAAGGTGTCCCTGCCCATGGCAGGGGGGTTGGAACTGGATGGTCTTTAAGGTCCCTTCCGACCCAAACCATTCTCTGGTCCTACGATCAACAAGCTACGTCAGCGGACAACTTCCACTACCTAGGCGTTTAAACGACAAGACTGACAGTGCTCAGTACGCAGCATTTCAGGATCTCTTGACCCTGGGAGTACAACCCTTGGTGGTGCTAACAACAAACACAGTCACAGCTACGTTAACTTTAAGGTAAACCCCACTAATGTTGGAAAAAGCTACTGACTAAATTGCTTTCAAAAAATCATCAGGGAACAACTATCATTTCTTAGGGCCAATGCACCGTAACTCATTAGGATGATGTTCCAGCACACCAAACTGTACATAAGACGGTAGGGATAACTGACATACTGATGCTGTCCAGCTGTTGTATTAGTTAAACAAACAAAAAATCAGACCCAGAGTACCAAAAGCCAAGGAACTACCTAAAAATCCAGTATTACTGTTCATATTTTAGCAATTATCAGAAGTAACATTAATTGCTGACGCTAACCTAATTGGTTTACAAGCTTGGTTTAATCTTCTAGCAGATAAAAAAAAGAATGCCCTCTATCTACAGATACACTTAAAAAGCCACCAAACAACAGGAAAGGGAAGCTTTAGCTTTGCAAAGCCACTGTCTTAATTTGAAGTCAGGGGGAGAAAGGAAAAAGAATCATTATTAAAAACTTCAGGAGAATTGCTAATGAACAGGACACACAATGACAGCAACGTCCAATTCACAATATAAATCGTATAAAACTGAACCGAAAACTTGCAGATTGCTGCCCAGCAAAACCTCGGGATGCTGAAAACAGCAGGTAAGGAATATTCACTTAGGAATATTACCCATTATGCCCATTCTTGAAAAGGTCTGTTAAAAGCTAATCTTTAAGGCGTTTTCTCTGCCAGCTGCACCAGTCAAATTTCTCTCAAAACACGGCAGAACTATTTGGTGTATTTTTTAGAGAAATAACTCATTTCCGTGCACAAGGAGAAGCCGTTAGAATGTTAACAGAGCTCCCCTGAGGCTGAGGCTAACCCTCAGGCGTGAGGAGAGCAGGCCCAGACCTCGGCCTCGCCTCCAGCGCAGCCCCTCAGGCCCGGGCCGCCCCCTCTCCCCGCAGGGCCGGGCACCGGCCGGCCCGGCACTCCCT